GAGGAGGAGGGCGGCCGCGGAGGAGGAGGATGGAGGAGGAGGAGGAGGAGGAGGAAGAGGAGAAGCAGGAGAAGCAGGAGAAGCAGGAGGAGCAGCAGCGGCAGCAGCAGGAGCGGCCCCCTGGAGGCGCCGCCCTCGAGTGCGAGAGCTGCCTGGCCGCCGCATCGCCGCGCGAGGCCGTGGTGTTGCCTTGCGGCCACGTGCTCCACGAGGCGCCGCGGCGGCTCCTTTCAGCCTCTCTCGTCGGCATCCTCGGCATCCTCCTCCTTACGGGGCCCAAAGGTTTACAGCACCACCACCACCACCACCACCACCACCACCACCACCACCACCACCACCACCACCACCACCACCACCACCACCACCACCACCCCTCATCCCCTCCTCTCCTACAAGGCTCGTCAATGATAAACAGAAGACTTCTGTATTCGGTGATTGTGGGGTCAGCGCTGCTCCAATGCTGACGGATGTCTGTTGACTCGGACGCGGCGTCGTCTAAAAACCGACCCCACCCTCTCAGCATTGAAGAACGTGTTTTCTGACAAGTGCCCGAAAGCATCGCGCTCCAGGATTTCGACTTCCATTTCTGGATATGTTTGACGAGGCTTGTAGGAAAGAGAAGAGGAAGATGAGTGCGGAGGAGGGGGGAGGAATCGACGTGGTGGTGGTGTATATTATTGGGGCCCACGCGCCTTGCCTCCTGGCGCCTCCTGCTCCTCCGCCTCTTCTCCGTCCCTCCCTCGAGCGCCAGCCCGCTGGGGCGTCAGCGGCGGGGAGGAGGAGGAGGAGGAGGAGGTGGAGGAGGAGGAGGAGGAGGAGGAGCAGGAGCAGGAGGAGCAGGAGGAGAGGGAGCTGCGAACGCCCGAGCCCGCCTTCCGCCGCACAAGGCGACCCAGGCGGTGGCCAGGCGTGACCCGACCGAGAAAGCTCGGCTGCCTCGACAGCACCACGACATCCGTTTCGTGAGTTGTCGTTCTGCAGGCCAGTTTGACCGCACATCGACACTCACATCGTACCAGATCCTGGAGACCCGCTTGGCACGGCAATGGGCGGCTCTGGCGCGAGAGGGAAAAAGAGAGCTCACTCCTGCACGCTGCTCCCAGTCGGGGCTCATCAGCCACTGGCACGCCACTGTAGCGCCCAACATCCACCGAGCTTTCAGGCTGCCACCATGTCGCAGAGGGAGGAGGAGGAGAGGAGGAGGAGGAGGAGGAGAAGGAGGAGGGGAAGGAGGAGGAGGAGGAGGAGGAGGAGGAGGAGGAGGAGGAGGAGGAGGAGGAGTCATGGAGTCATGAAGTCATGGAGTCATGGGTCCAGGAATTGCGCGGTGCACACCGCACGCAGGCGGGCCGCAATGGCAGGCAATCGGCACCCCTGGCCTCGCCCTTAGGGGAGGAAGCGGGCCCAAAGGCGCTCGCACCGACGAACAGGGGAAGAGGCGAAGGAGGAGGAGGAGGAGGAGGAGGAGGAGGAGGAGGAGGAGAGTATCCCCATAAATTTCAAGAATTTGTTAGCACCGCTGAGAAGCCTTTAAGATCTCCCCCAAACTTTCCGGTTGAAATCCGAGACGGAGGAGGATGATGATGATGATGAGGAGGAGGAGGAGGAGGAAGAGGAGGAGGATCGGAATTTGAACGGAAAATCCACGGGGGGTAGGAGCTAGAGGAGGAGCAGCGAGGAGGGAGGGAGGAGGGCGGAAGGAGGCAAAGCGGAGGATGGATGATTTCGGAGGTCTTGAAGCGCTTTCGCAGGTTTTCGGCGGTGTTCGTTGGTTCGGGATGTTTTCACAGGGAGGCGGATTCTGGAAATTTCCAGCCGTCGGGAGGAGCAGGAGACGGGCGAAGGAAACGAAGGAGGAGGCGGGCATCTCCGTATGGAACGTTCACAAGTGTGGTCCGCTCTGCAGCTGGATTGCTTTACCGGTCGCACGGTTAATCGGAGTGTCGGTCTTGTCTTACAGTGGAGGCCCATGCCAAGAAACACCCTGCTTGCCTCCAGGGTGCCCTGGGTTTCTTGGGCTTCCATGGTTTTGCCATGGAAGGCATGACGTCCCCACACCAAAAATCGATGGACGTCCTGGGGTCTGAGGGTTGGGTTTCTTGTGGAAGGTGTCTTGAGGACGGGCCTCCACTGTACCTTTCCGCCCAGCCAGCGTTTTCTTTGTCGCGTCCCCGGTTGTAGCAGGTTTGAATTCCCTTGTTGCCAGCGATTCGGCCTCCTTGGGCTTCTCTCGCGATCGCACTATGGAATCAGCTGCTGAGCCGTGCGAGCCCAGACGAGGCAGACAGTTGCCTTACTTGTCCAGTCGAGGGTCGGTTCGGCTCCAGCTCCACGCCAGGGGTAGCGCCAGAGCGAGGTCTCTCCTTCCTTCCAGGCCCCCGTCCCAATTTCATCTCTACTACCTAGCCGACTGGGAGACTCCCAAACCTACAACATGGAGGTTCTGAGCTCCATTCCCGATGCTTTCTCATCCGTCTTGAACGCTTGTTTGTCAACCTTGGAGGTTAGATTTGGAGCCTCTTAGGAAGAGCAGTGGACGCAGGGGAACAGAAAGGGGAGGCCAGCGTCGAGGGCGCGAAGATGAGAAAACCTTCGAGCACCTTCAGTCTGTACGCGTTTGAGCCTCCTTTGTGGTGGCGGAGAGCGTAGTCTATCACCGACCCCCTTGCGAAACGCGAACACTGGAGACCGAGCATGTCGCAGCCTGTGCTCTCGCGCAGAAGACCGCTGGCGCCAAGAACCACGGGAGACCGCTGGACCCCGCCGAAGGCCGCCGAAGTCAGCTTGATGACAGCCCATATCTCCGACGTCTACCTTTTCCCAATGCGGGGTCCCCAGAGTTCTGGACCACTTCTGGGGGACCAGCCTTCCTTCCCGGATAGTTGCTTGACGGTCCTGGGGCCCGGCAAGGGCCCCCAGACGCCAAAAAACAGCAACAACAACAACAACATTAACAACAACAACAACAACAACAACAACAACAACAACAACAACAACAACCACAACCACAACCACAACCACAACAACAACAACAACCACAACCACAACCACAACCACAACCACAACCACAACCACAACAACAACAACAACAGCAACAACAGCAACAACAACAACAACAACTACAGCAACAACAACAACAACAACAACAACAACAGCAGCAGCAACAACACCAACAACAACAACAACAACAACAGCAGCAGCAGCAACAACAACGACAACAACAACAACAACAAATTGTTGTTTTGACTTTTTCAGAACGGCGGAAGTCTGGGAGGAGGGCCCATGGCCAAAGCGCAGCCCCAGAGGTCACGAACCCTTCACTGGGGGTAGCTTCTCGTCCCAGATCCGTTTTCGATGGCCCTAGGGCCCGATCACGAGCCTGGGAGGCTAAGATTAAGTCGGGCCTGTCCCTCTACAGGGGGAATATTCAAAAATAGTCAAAAAATAGTCTGGGGACGGTTTTTGACTATTTTTGATCACTTGGGAGTATTTGTTTTAGTACTTTTTATTTTTCGCCCAAAATCCCCCTGTAGGGGGACACGCCTGACTTAAAGCTACGATCGAGGAAAAGCGCTCGCATCGAATAAACTGCCCATCGTATCGTCGGAGATCCAGATGTCGGAAACGATTAAGCAGCACTCGTGCAGAACATCTGGTTTGAACTCCCCCCCTCCTCCCAATTGCAATGCTGGTTTCAGGTCTTCCGATTTGGCCTCCGAGTGGTCTTCAAGGAGCGTGCCAACTTTGAACTGCGGGGGAGGGGGGGGAGTGTTGCTCAAGTTCTCCCCTCAACCGTCTGGGCCCGCTCGAGGAGGAGGAGGAGGAGGAGGAGGAGGAGGAGGAGGAGGAGGAGGAGAAGGAGGAGGAGGAGGAGGAGGAGGAGGAGGAGAAGGAGGAGGAGGCCCTGGCCCAGCTGACGCTGGCGCCCCGGGGCGCCGCCGCTGCCCGCCAGGCCTGCGCCGCCAGGGCCGCCGCGGAGCTGGGCGCCCGCCTCGGCAGCCGACCGGCGGGCCCGCCGCTGGGTGCTCGGCTTAAGTCGGGCCTGTCCCCCTACAGGGGGATGTTCGGCGAAAGATAAGAAATACCCCCAAAGATAGTCCAAAAATGCTCCAAACATAGTCCGGGGACTATTTTTTCCGTATTTTTTAACCCCTTTGGGGCACTCTGGGGGTATTTTTCATTTTTCGTCGAAAATCCCCCTGTAGGGGGACACGCCCGACATAATGCTCGGCACCCGATCCGGCCGAGGGGGAGGAGTCAGGCGATCGCAAACATGAATCAAGGGGGCATGGATTAGCGACGGGTGCCAGTTTCACAGGAAATTGCGGATCTCCGCCGCCGAACGAGGCGCCACCGGCCGCATTTTGGGAAGGGCACTTCCCCCGATCCATGGATTTGGCGACCGCGCGCCAAATCCATGGATCGCTAATCCATGTTTGCGCGCCCCCGGAGGAGGGGGAGGAGGAAGGAGGAGAGGAGAGGAGGAGACGCGGGGCGCTGCCTCCTCTTCTCCTCTCCGCTCACGTGAGAGGCCCCCCTCCTTACGAGACCCGATCCCCTCGCTGGGTATTCGGCACCCGCTGGGTGTTCGGCTTCGGTCGAGTACACTCGGGGGCGGCAAGGAGGGGGGTGATGACGGGGGCATACATGGCAGGGGCCATGATATCTCCACAGATGTCATGCGTCTTATTTCAAGACGTCCCCGGCACCCCCTGGGCCGCGCCCATGCCACCGGCCATGATTTGCGCCCCCCCCCTCTTGGACGCCCCCTCTTGGCCGCCCCCGAGATCCAGCCGAGGGCGCCTGCTTCGGTCGACTACACGTACAGTCGGGACGCGCATCAAGAAGTCAGATGCTTTTCGTCAGGGTGCCCTGGGTTTCTTTGCTCCGCTTGCTGCGCAATTACTTTCCGCGGCCGTTGAAAAAGGCTGCTGCGTTCAGGGTACTACGGGTTCCCCCCCCCGTGTGTATCGTGCGCGCGGGTTTTTCAGGGCTGGGTTCCTGGCGAGGGTTCCTTGCGGCCGCGTCCGCACTGTAACGGTGACCTTTCGCCAGAGCGATCCTCGGTGCGGGCCCAACGCGACGCGATCGTAGCGCGTTTCGCGCTTGTGTTTAGTCCCCCCGCGGCCCCCAAAAAGCCGTGCAGAAAAGGCCAATCTCTGCGTGTAGCCGATTCGACAGCTCTCCCTCTGCAAGAGCCGCGTCGGGGGGCGGGATGGGCGCGCCGACCCCCCGGTGGCATGTTCATAGCCGACGGGGGCCCAGTAGCTTACCCCGCTGGGGACGGAGCGGTGTCGCCATGGGGGGCCCATCGCCGATCCATCTGCGATGTGTCGCCAGATTTGCCCCCCTGGGCCGGCACCCCCTCAGCGAAGGCGCCGCGTTCGGCCGTGCTCCTCTTTTTCCACCTCCTCCTCCTCCTCCCTCCTCCCTCCTCCTCCTCCTCCTCCTTCCCTCCTCCTCCTCTCTCCTCCTCCTCCTCCTTCCTCCTCCTCCTCCCTCCTCCTCCCTCCTCCTCCTCCTCCTCCTCCTCCTCCTCCTCTTCCTCCTCCTCCTCCTCCTCCTCCTCCTTCACCTGGGAAGAGCAGGGGGAGGGGGAGGGACAGGGTGAGAAAGGGGGAGGAGGATATTGGGCGGAGGAGGATGATGATGATGATGATGGGGAGGAGGAGGAGGAGGAAACGCAGACATGGATGAAGGCTCGTGGATTAGCGACGTGTGGTGTGCTGTTCCCATACAGATTCGACGCGCTCCGTCGCAAAGTCGGGCGGCACCGGCTTCGTGCTCTGTGGTACATTCCACGATCCGTCGATCTGGCGCCCACGCGCCAGATCCACGGATCCGAAGTCCATGCTACCGTGTGCCCGATGGGAGGAGGAGGAGGGAGGAGGAGGAGGAGGAGGAGGAGGAGGAGGCGGAGGAGGGGGAGGAGGAGGAGGAGGAGGGAGGAGAAGTGGGAGGGAGAGGAGGAGGAGGAGGAGGAGGAGGAGGAGGAGGAGGAGGAGGAGGAGGAGGAAGAGGAGAAGATGGAGGGAGGGACAGGCGGATGGCTTTTTCCAGGTATCGTTTTTGTTGGCCCCCCTGATGCTTCAGTATCCCTGGCAGGCGGCCAGGGAGAGGTGGAAGCGAGGTGGGAGCAAGGGGAAGGAATGGTTCGGCCCTACGTTCCCTGGGTATTACACTTCGGCTCCAAACATGATTCTCAGTACTAGGTGGGAAAACCATGTTTCATTCAGTCATGTGATGCTTCCCGACGCAACGTAAATATATGACATGTTATTGTGTTGTATGTGGATGGTTTCAGCCAAGGCACACACATACCGCTCCTCGCGATAATATTGCGAATGTGCGCAGGAACATGGTGAGCATCATGAGGCTTCCCATGGATGACAGTAGAGGTGCAGACCCGCGAATCTGCTCCCCGCTAGCGCGGCTCATCGTTTCCTTCCCTACCTAGCTCCACTTCTTCTTATTCTCCTGATTCTTATTATGAATCTTATATTTCTCATGTATATTAAAATGTTTATCATTATCATTCTTCTTCAAGCTCCTCCTCCTCGTCCCGATCCTCCTGTCTCTTGTTGTGGTTGGGACGTCAGGTGACGTGCATTCGGTGGAGGGGAGCTGTTGAGCACAACAAAACAAACTGTGGTTAGGAGGCTGCTTGACTGTGTTGGACTGGCCCGTAGCGCTTCTGGCTTCCTGAGCGTATCCTGAGATTTGGGCATAGTGACAAATCACGACGCGATTAGGTGTCCTCTTTCGGGACTCGGCGCCTTTTGACCCGCTTCACGAGGCCGTTGACCAAAAAGTATCCCCGGCAGAGTTTCGCCTGTTAATTCTCGCCACCTTTGTGGCCTTCTTGTCCTGCGCGTCGCCAGCGGCAATTGCGCTGTGCCTGACTCTCGCTTGACGACCTGTTTGACGGCGCGCGGCTGCGCGCGTCGCTCGCGATCAAAAAAAGTATCCCCGGCGGATCAGCCCCATGGTGTTTGGTCGCGGCGACTTGGAGCCAAGACACGGTCGGGGCAGCCGAGGGGCACTACGAGTCCAAATCAGGCACAGCAGGCGTGGGAGAGGGGAGAAGGGAGGGGAGGAAACCGCCGGCGGCGGAGCGCACTCGGAGCATGACGTGCCTGTTCGCGTGTGCCAGAGCACGGCTCATCCCAGAATAATCGCCAGGCGAGTTGCCTTGGTGGAGGATGTGCAGCAGCATGCGATCCAGGAGCGAACTACATCTGCCTTCGCGGATATGTCCGAAGTAGAAGGAGGAAACGCAAGATAAGGAGAGAGTAGGGAAAAGGAGGAGGAGGAGGATGAAGAGGAGGAGGAGGAGGAGGCGGAGGAGGAGGTGGAGGAAGGAGGAGGAGGAAGCTTGTCTGCAGCTTTTCGGGAACTTTGGGGGGGGTGGTGGGGGTCTGGAGGGGGGGGCGGAGGGGATGGGTGGAGGGGGGGGGCGAAGGGGGGGTGGAGGGGGAGGGGGTCGGAGGGCGCTGGAGGGGGGGTGGAGGGAAAAGAAGGTGAAGGGGGGATAGAGTGAAGGGTGGGATGTCCAACATGGTCTAACTCCTCGCGGATTACCCCCTCCAAATCCAAGGGGATGGGGCAGCGGAACCACCTCCCTGAAGGGAATCCCGTTCAATCCAGCCGAATCCTTGTCTTCATCCGGGCTGATCCAGCTCAATGGCCCCTACATCTTTCTGACGGAGACCTCCCAACAGTTGCCCCCTCATTCAACAGGCGGAGCTGGAACCGGGATCAAAGGTGCCAAAGCGTTGCGCTCCGGTACGCTCCGAGAGCGCCGCGGAGCGCTCTGGAACGGCGGTTGCGCCCGATACATCCTCCAGAGCCACCGAAGCTCAGGGATCAAACCTTCATCCCGTTCCGATAGTGTCCCAGTCTTGGTTTCGTCTTGCTGTCGGGAGCTTTAGGATAGCGTGTCGTTCCGCCAGTTCTGGCCCACCACGCCTCGGCGCGACACGCTATCGCGGTCCCCAGGCGTCCACGTCCGGAGCCTTTCCCAGCCTCCCCCCCCCGCGGAGCGGAGCGACACGCCGTCGATTTGCAGATATTCGCAGAGCATAGCGTGTCGCCGGGGACGCCGCGGCGACACGCTGCGCGCTCCGCAGAAGTTCCCGGCCGTGCCGTCGCCGATCCACGATTCGGGCACTCGACGGGCGGCGGGGCCAGGGCTCGGCCTTCGTCGAGCACGTGGTGAGCTCCGCTGCCCTTGCCTCCCATCGGTTCGGGAGAATCGATGGTTGGTGGGGTAGGTCGAGCGACGAAATCTATCCAGCTGCCTGCGGCAAACCCCGCCACCGTGCCTGTGCAGCATCGCTGCAAGAAGGAGACTGAGTTTAGGAGCAGCGCAATACCGACGACTAGTCTGAATTGGTACGCGTCGTGAACTCGACATCGTCCTCGTCGTCGCGGTACGGGTGGGGATTGACGCCCCGTTGCAGTTTGCCGAGCGGTCTGAACTGGGGCGGGTTGTGAATTGGATTTCGGCTGCGCAGACAGAGGCGGGAACATGTGGCAAGGGTTGTAAACGAATGCTCCCATGCCCTAGCTTTGGCCGCGTTGGTGGCTCGCTCCTGCCATCCTTTTTTCCGCGGGAGTATCTCGCACTTATCGGAGGTGTAACATGGTCGATGAAAGAGGCGGGAATATGATTTAAATGCTTTGGCAAATGTGCCCTTGCCGCGGCGGCCATATCGTGTCGTCATGGGGTCAGTCTGCGCGACACGCATCGTGTCATCTAGGGGCCCTCTCCGCCCCGAAGGATCCGCGGAATTGCCAGGAGGCGTCGCAGGATCAGCCCCGCGACTCATGCCTGAACCCCCCAACCCCCTGGCCGGATTTATTTTCTTCTCTCCGCGGGGGGTCAACCTTCGCGGCGACCCGTTAACTCCGGGACCCCTGGCGGCGCATGGATTTCTCTTCTTCTTCCGCGCGCGAGTTGCCATTGGAACCCCTGAACCCT